ACAAAGCAACATTTTTGCCTTGGGCAATCACACTCCAGTGACTCATTCAAGTGACCTTATTTGCTCATTAGAAGCTCTAGGTGCAGGTTGCAAATGTCAGGGAGCTTAAATTTACATCTTTAAGAAGTACAGCTACCTGAATTTTAATGCTAATCTCCCTGAGATCTCAGGCCATATCTAACATTATTTACTTAGCTATCCAGTTGACATACTGCTCCATTCCTACTATGAATCTGCATTGGTATGCCCTTCACCCTAGTTATTAAATTGTTTGATGCTTCATGTAGTATGCAAAACTAGAAAGCTTGCAGCTGAGGTAACCCTTTCTCTGTGACCCTTCGCAAAACTTTTTTTTAAAGCATCAGGCAGTGCAGTGACATTATCATGCACACTGGAGGTAAAGGAACAACCCATTCTTTAAAAAAAACAAAATAAGCTGGAAGAAGGAAATTGGAAGTTCACACATCTGAATTTCTTTTTCTGTATGTGATGAGACTATATTCTGCTTGCTGGAACAGCTCTTCGGACCAGAAAGCACAAATAAAAATAAAATTACAACATGGGGCAACATCTCTTGCATGTATGGGGAACTGGAAATTTTCTGAACCCTCTGGTAGGAAATGTTAGGGGCGTGTGGGTTTGTGTAGTATCCATGTATTTCACAGTATTTATAAACCCACCCTTCATCATGCTGATCTCAGGGAAGGCTGAAAACAAAATGCGGACCTAAACCAAGTAGATTAGCACTACATAGGTCAGCAACACATAAAAATATCATCATGGGTTAAACCCAACACTTGACATGTGCAACAAGACTCTTCCCCTCTAAAAAGAAACAAATATTCTTCCATAGTGTCCTCAGCTTTTTAGGATTTGCACACACACGCACACTTAAAAAAATATAATACATTAAACAGCAGGCAACTGAAAAACAACGGGCTAAAAGGACTGTCCCTCTCTGAAAGCCTGAGTATTGAGAAGAAAGCAAAGTGAAAGAGACTTATGCACAACACGGTTTAAGGCAAAAAGCCTATAGTATATGAAAAGTTAGTTAATGATATAGGAATGCAAATTAAATAGGCACTAAGAGTCATTTAGTAAGCAAATAAGAAAGGACAGCAAAAGCCCTTCACATTATTTCTTCAATTCCTTCATTTTTGTGTATACCAAATTTTTTAAAGTTCTGGTAAATTTTCTATCCATAACCTTTAAAAGTCCATAGAATGTGAAACGCCATCATTTCTTGCCAGAGGGTTGAACACACATTTCCAAGACATGACTGAGAGCTTCATCTACTTGGATGAAATTCACAGCCTGGATCAGAAAAAAGCAGCAGGAGTGAGAGGCCTTCTCAGTGTATGCTGACAGTGCTAGCTATTCTTAAAAGCATGACTTGTGCTGTGTGGATGAGTTTCTCCCTAGGTTTTTCACGTCCAGTGGCACCATGGTTTGATGAATACCTATGTAGGCACTCTAGATGTTCCTTTGAATGAATTTTTCATATACTGTATAAAGTTCTCTTGCACTGTAGGCAACACAGTACTACAGCTATATCAAATGCTCATGTATGGGTGCATTTGTGAAGTCTCAAGAGGAGAGAAGCTCTGAGACACAGAACAGGTGCTTTCTGCCATAAATTCCCTGTGTTTTAACACTGTGGTAGAAGCTGGTTAAATGAAGACACTGTAAGAGTGAATGTCACACATAGAGTCAGAATTGTGCTTGAAGTTTTCATGTCAGTGATTCACCCTGCTGGGAAGTAGTGTGGCAAAAATGGCAACAAAGTTCAGATTATGCATACTTTAAGGCATGTGTGTTCCGTGTGTATGTTTCCTGTTGATGGGTTTAGCCCATTTGTGAGTGATACAAGATACAGTCTTCTCTGTGGAACTTCTTTCCCCATAAAGTTGCATTTGTCCCACTATCCCTATCAACATTTTGATTTAAATTAAATATGCACTTGTTTGTCTAGACATTTGGAGATAGGCAATTCGAGTTTGATGGCCTAGTATAGTCAATGTCTGTTCTACTGATGTAAATTGTTTTTAGCTGATATTATTTTCTACTATTTTTAAAATTACTTTTATTTTAATAGGCTAGAAAAACATTCTATTTTTGACTACATCGTACAGTGCCCTGGGCTGCTACAGGAGGAAGGATGGAGTACAAATAAATAAATAAAAATAAAAGATATCTTGTGCATTGGTTTCTCCATTAGGAGATTTATTTTTTTCCCTCTCTTAATATTAAAAAGGCATGTTGAATTTTCTGTAAGCAATTATTTGTGTTGAGAATGTCTGATGTATTTTCACTTCATTAAATCCTAATCTGATTTCCACTGAGTCAAAATAAATGTAGAGAGCACACAAGAATCAGCGGCAAATGCTACCACTGGGTGCATCTCTCAAACAAATTTTCCAATAACATTTGCTTGAATAAGAATTCAGTTTTGCTTTGACTAAGCTTATGTTCAGTTCACAGTGTTGAGACTGCATTGATGCCCTGGACAAACTAGCAATGGACCAAATTGATTGAAAACCACTGAGACTTGCAATTCACAACAGGAAAATGTGAGCTAGGGAATTTGACTCAAAAACTGTACACTATATACTGGTCTAGCATAATTCAAGGTGAAAAGTACCATTAATTCACAGTGGATTCTATTGGTCTTCATCAATCTCATATGTACAATGGAAAATGCCAAGAGTTTACATGCACACTAAAATACAGATAATGCAGAAATATTTGGGTTCCCTTTCCATACACATATGTAAAGTAGGCTAAAATTTAGCTTTCATCTGCAAGCCCTTCTACTAAATACCACCACATGGAAATGATGTCATGGAATAATTCATAAACAGTCTACATAGTTTGCCTCTCCAAGGACAACAATCTCCATTATGGGAAGAAACAGGGCAGCCAGGGGCTGGCATTTGCATTGGATTGCCCAGAGGGTTAGAGGAGCAAAGAGGCAAGGAATGCAATAGTGCAGCGAAAGGAAAGACAAGAGTGGGTTAAGAAAAAGATGCTTAATAAATGGATTGATGCAAGAGGAAGAGGTGTGATGGGCAGACAAGGTACAGGTTTGACAAAGGTAGACTGCAAGGATGAGAGGGAGGTAGCATGCATGTGGGGAAATCTCATGCAGATTCTATGAACAGTTGAGCTATGAGCTGATGGGAAAAAATGAGAAAACAAGGATGCTTTGGAGACTGGGTCCTGCTGACGAGAAAAGCAAACACAGAGAGAGGCTTAAAGAGACATGCTGGAAGCTGATTATCATCTCAGGAACCTGTATTCATTTAAAGTCAAAGCCTTCACACAACACACACAGAGAAGAGAAGTTATAGATGGGCATTATAAAATACCTGCTGCGGCCCTTTGCCCATGTTGGAAACTCGACTGCTACCGACGCGATGAGGCAGAGCAAGAAATAAGCCTATTTACCAAATAAACTTTGGCAATGCATATAAAGTTACTGAAAGCAAACAACAACAACAAAAACCAGCAAACATAAAAGGTAAAATTTGCTAAATCCTGGAAGTTACTAATTTTCAAGGAAACTGGCAAAGCTGTCATTAAAAGAGTGAGCCAAGTACAACAAAATTATGCATAATTTCACAATGATAAGAAAATACTGAGAAACAACGTAAGGCCCTCCAACATTGCTATCCCAATAACAAATAAAGGGTGCAAGGCTCTGAATGCAGATTTGGTTTGAGGAAGGCAGGCATGGAGCAAATTGGTTCCTGTCCCACTGTTGCATGAACACATCCTAGCTAAAGAGCCTGGGGAAGGAGTCCAATTCCCACGCAAACTGACCCAGATTTGAAGTTCCAAATTAAATGGTTTACTTTGCAAGTGAAGGCCTTGTATAAAATGTAGTCACATCCCAAGCACAAAAAAACTAATAGCAAGAGTCTGAACATTCTTACTCAGACGTAAGTCTCCGTGTGTCATGGGGCTTACTCCCAAACTGATATTTAGGACTATAGTATAAAGATTTGTAACTGTCTTTGCTCAGATGCATCTTTTTTTTATCTATGTCTCTCTCATCACCCCAGCTCTCTATTCTCTGCCCACTATTGAACTTTTAAACTCTCTTGGGCAGGAATCTTTTCTTTTCTTTTCCTTTGCATATAGAGAAAAGAAACTGCACATTGGTGGTGCTATATAAATTAAAATATCAAATACAACAGGAGCTATGTGAACCCTACCGCTATAAACACATTTCCTACACATTTGTGTCCATCCATATACTCAAGGATGTTTACCTTATGCATTTTTTCACATTGTTCAGCTATTATGCAATTAATAAAATGCAAACATACCGTGCATTTACAAGTGTACATTTTGTTCTAATGAAGAGCCAAAGTAACAGAATTTAAATCAACACTGCAAAAATAAACTACTAAGCAAAACTATATATTGAAGTCAAATTTTAAACAACAGTGAAGACATATCATGCCGTTAGAGGCCCATTATGGCTGTTTTGACTGTTTTCAGATTTTATATTTTAAAAGCAGTTTTATTATTGATGCTTTTGGTGCCCATGGAACCTTGGGGAGAAAGAGTAGAATATAAATGTAAATGTAAATAATAATAATAGTTTACATTCATAAGGTGTAAGCCTTTGGCTTGTGAGCTCTTCTGTCACTTCTCTGGCATGACCACAAGGAGGAAAACATCTGCTTCCTGCTGTTCAATAACTGAGGTTTACCATTAAATTTAAAAAGAGTGATTAAACTATTGTTTATTGAAACACACCAAGATGACAAATCATAGTTTGAGACGGGCTGAGAAGGAACAACTTGCCCTTTCCAGACATAAAAAGGGGGCAGGTGTTTCTAATCTCCTCCTCATGGTTGTGCTAAATGACATGAGAAGAGGAAAGACCAAGTGAACCTGAGGCTCGTTCACATAGTGCTAAACTAAGGTTTAGTGTTACATCCAAAATGTGAAGTCATAATGATAAACACAAATAGGAAAGGAAAGGATATTTTCCTGGTTTTTCTATACCCAATCTGTAGTCTGTGTAGCTTTTAGATGGGTGGAAATTGAATATAAACAGAAGATTTGCCCTCTCAAAAGCAATAACTTTGTTTGATTCATGTTTTTCACTCACGTAAGCCTGCAAAAGATAAAAAAAGGTAGATTTAGATGCTTACTAAAATGATTTTGAACTTAAACCACATAGAAGTAGGGCAATATGTATACCATCATATTCAATTCAACCAAGAGTTTGTGGAGATGAAAGAAATTCATGTAAGTGACAGTCTGTCATGAAGTAAGTAACTTCATATAAGAATTCAGATTTTAAAAAGCTGGGTAAGCTATAACAGGGGGGGGGATAACGAGCCTGCTATAGTGCTATATATTTCACTTTAGCTATTGAAGGTGGTGGTATGCATATCTGTGGAGAAAATCAACCACAATGACATCTGAGGATGAAATTCTTTCAAAGGCCCTGTCCTTTACTTCACAATTCTTTTTAAGTGTTCTCTGTTCCTTCTTGCTTAGGCCAACAGCTGGATTGATGGAGATTTATGGCTGCACAGAATTTTACTTTTGACATGAATCTTATAAGCAGTGTCTTTGAGATGCTGCCTGTGTCACTTTTGAATGCTTAATCAATTTCATGTCAATTTTGCTCAGGAGAGGGAAATGGAAAGTATGCTGAGTGAAGAACCTCATTGCTTAAGAAGAGGGGTGTTTGTGGGTGTTGGGTGGTGGGAGGGAGGAACCTCCGAAGCAATCCTTCAAGTGGCACACAATACTCTAAACAATTTCAGTTCATTCTATATTATACAAACCAGAAAGAAATTTTGTTTTATAAAGTGGTGCTTGCTACATGTGTTATTTCAGAGGGCTATTTTGCTTGAACCATGCATGAATTACAGAGGGCTAATTTCAAGCTGGGAGAAGGCTAAATGGTACCTGCTATGTCACTGGAAGTCAAGTGCTTGGCATTCACGTTGAACTGGGGCAGCTATTAGGTATTAATATAAGAGTTGAATACTGGGGTTTTAAATCTGTACTACACCCTGTATTCAGCAAGAAACTCAAATTTAAGCACATACAATGACAGTGCAATCCGAATCCATTTATATTTGCTGCTAGAAGTGGTTAGCATATGAAGGGAGTGGTCATCCCCCAGCCTTTGATGTGGGGGCTCTGTTGCGGCTGCAAAAACCTTTGCTGAAGCGGCAGAAAGAACAGGAGGTAAGAAACTGCTGCTAGCAGTGCTCCTACTGGTGGTATCAGATGTAGGGATGCAAAGCAGGGAATGGGAGCAAAGCAAAGCCACCAGTGGAACCACTGATTTCAATGCTGCACCATCACTGTGAAAGAAACCTGACCTGAGGCCCTCAGCTACGTACATCAAGCTGGAGATGGCATAGGGACAAGAAAACTCCACCCCCACCCATCTTGCTCTCTAGCCAGCGTGAGCAGCAGAGTTTGGGATGTGGCAGTGGATCTCCGCTCTCATGCTTTTGTAGCCCAGGTTTGGATTGCTCTGTGAGTTGAGTGATGGTGAAGGTACAGTAAAAAAAAAAAAAGTGCAAGAATTAACAACAGTGAAACTAAATACAATTAAGGGCAGATGCAGGAAAGACTCAGATTTACTAAAGCAGGAACCATGTGCACTTTTGCCTCTGTTCAAGTCTCACTGATTCAGTGGGACTTGCGATAAGAATGTATAGGATTAGGCTGAACAGGAATGTCGGCTCAGAGATCAGAGGTCTGGTTTAAAAGTTATACAGTAATTGACCTCATGGTGCTATTTTTTCCTATACGGGCTTTTAAAATCTCTAAAATAATCCTTATTGACAATGTGCTGTCTGCCTATGTTGCAAGAGAAAAGCAGAACATTTATTAATACTCTAACAAACAATTGGTAGAGGCGCCAGGACAATTTTGTACTAGTGCGTGGCCAGATAGGCTGTGATAAAAATCAGAACTAACAGAGTCTACTATAACACCATTGGCTATTGCATATCTGCTTTGAATGTTAAATATGATAAAAGGTATTAATTTCCAATGTAAAATCTGGTTGAATCAGAAAAGCAACAAACCATGGATGTCACTTTAGACTAATTGTTTACCTATAAAATTAATTTTCATAAGATGACTCATTCTTTAAAGTTCTATGGTTATTTTACTGCTGCTGCTTCTCTCTTTCTCCCTGAGTTATAGAGCTGCAAAGCTTTCCAAAAAGTCTCCTGTGGCAGCAACTGTGATAATTAAAAGCTGCAATCCTATCTATTGTCAACACAAGTGCTGACACAGTCTGGGAAACGTGCGTAAAATAGCCTGCGAGGTACAGCAATGAATGCATACAGCTTGTTAGTTATCTTTTGTTCCTTTAGTATCTTCAGCATCCTTTATTTCTTCATACTTACGTAGCGCTCCTTTACTGCTCCAACCAATTCATATATATTAACTCAGTAACGTATGTAAGGAAGGTCAAGAAGGCTAAGGCTGTGAGATATTAAGTAGCCTTAAGCAAGTCCCTGAGTTCATGGCAAAGTGGCATTAGAACAGGGACTCAACACCTACCATTCTTAGAACCAAGCTTCACATTATCTTTAATCTATATAGTGCAGCTGTGTCTCTCATTTTTCTTAAATTAATTATAGCTGCCAAGGAGGGATTGTTGTTGTGATTACGGCTGGGAGAAGAATTCCGTCCTCGGCCATGTCTCCCTTGAAACTTGTGAACCACCATGTGGCTCTGAGACTTAGCAAAATAACTCTCATTGGTGCCAATAAGCATCCTCCCGAGTGGAAGTTGATCTAAGAAAAACCAGAGTGATTGCTGCATGCTTTTCATTACGTGTCACATGTCATTTGATCCTGAATGAGCTCCCTTAAAAACATAAGGGGATGTCAGGTCAAAGGCTCAACTAGTCTACCATCCCATTTTCCATAGTGACCCACCAGATCCAACCAAGAAGTAGACAGGCAGGAAATTAAGGGACTCACCCCAGCACCTGGTATTCAATGGCATACTGCCTCTGAACATATAGTTGCCCATTTTCCAACCATATCATGCACATAGGGCTGCACCACTGATTTCATGGTCATTTATCCACCCCTGTCCCTTTCCACATCTCTGTGACTTAAATTATGTTGTGTATAATATGCCACTTAGTTGTTTTATGGGCTAATAGCAGCAGCCTCTTTCTCCTAGATAAGGCCTGGTATTCACATTACTCTCACAGAATGGTAGCCAAGATGGTGGAATAATGAGGGAAGGGCTCCACCAGGTGGGAGGGGCTTATACCATGGTTCCTCCCCAAATCAGCATCCAAAATGGGCCAGTGTCAAGGAGTGGTGCCACAGAGATGCCCTCTGACACTGAGGTTGAGTGATTTTGGGGATGAGAAGACGCACTGACAACAGTAGTGCTCCCAGCAATGTGCCCGAGCAGTCCCAACCTTGCCACCACTCTGCATCACACTGCTAAGTGGCAGAGACAGCAGTGTTGGGAGGGTAGCATTAAAAACTGGTTCAATGCTCATGTGGGGAACAGCTTCAATATGGCTTCTCCATGACACACAAGAGTTCTCATGCTACCTTTCAGGTAGGGAAAGGAGTGACATGGTTGGGTAACATTAGTATCAGCAAAGATACTAATCTACTCCTCATTACCCTGCCAATGGAATAGCCACACTTCTACCATGCTGTTCTAATCACTGCTGGTAGGATATGCAAACCATCTGCAGATATCAACATTTCAGCCGCCTTCCTACAGATGTATAATTAGCAAGTCTTTCTCCACTGTGTGGAACAGATAAAAATACTCTTAATAATGGCATATAAGTAGAATTTTTGACTCAATTGTGAATGGTTGGATGCAATGATTTCATCAATTTTCACACTCAGTTGCTGCCTGATTTTCAGGGTTCTCCCCTCAGCCCCTGCATGCCTCTATTCAGGAGAGCACCCCAATTTCTAGCATATGATTTTGCAGAAAGCTGCCAAATGCAAGAGAGAGATGCAAAGTCACCTTTGGTCTATTCCCTTCTACCAGCATTTGTATACCTCTAGCTTAAGTATTTTACAAATAAGGCTGCATAATATGGAAACAGTCAAAGTGTTCCTCATTTAAGTAAATTACCGGGCAACATGAAGCTGGCTAATGGGAGCTAAGGATAGTAAGAAAACAAGAAATGTAGCACAATAACTGAACCTGGCAGTGAATTTATTTGCAGTCTAGTTCTAAAGTTAAGTAGAATATTGACATTATGATGACAAACATTTAACAATTTATTGAAAGCTAAAAGCTTTTTCTAAAAATAAGCACAGTTATTATTATCAAACAAATATGTCAAAATAATTTAAACATTAGATGAAATCTAGACAGTTTTATTACTGGGCATAAATAAAATAAAATATATCAAATGGAGGGGAAAGAAAAGATCTTTCTTTTCATGGTAAACAGGAGACTGTTTCACTGTTATATGAACACAACATCACCACTCATATGTTTTGAAAATATGTTAAAAGGAGAAAGCAGAATATAAGAAATTGCTTTATTTTATTTTCAAATGCAGTTTACTATTAGAATTTCAAACATGCACAATACCTGTGACAAATGCAAAAAAACTTAATGTATATACTTTACCGGAGGTGATGAAAGCCAGCCAAATCTTTCTTCCAACTTGTTCATATCTCTGTCAAACTCATTTAGGAATCGATAGCGAAGAAGCTGATCATCAGCTAAATGAAACTGTCTCCTGGCATAATGGTAGCTTTCATTATTGCCTTGTCTGGGAAAGTCTAACCATTCTGGATGCCCAAACTCGTTACCTATATTATACAAAACAAAAATAAAGAGATAAAATATAAATATGTCTGAGATAGTTAACACCTCTCCAAGACACATTCAAATGCATAGTTCTTAAAAATATATACTTAAACTATTTTTCATTAAATATTTTTAATGCAAGTTTTCAGGTCTTTGAACCAGGAGTGGGCAACTTTCCAGAGGCCAAATGTCAACGGTGGAGGGTCAATACACCACATTTTTTAAAAAAGACAGTGCTGACTCTGAGAGTCCTGAAAGCAACAAATGATCCACTAAGAAGATCAGAGACTAGACAAGAGACTACTGGATGGGTGGGTGTTCCATTGTCACCAGAGCTGTGGACACTGAAAAAGTTGCACTTTAATCATACTATGAACAGCTCAGAAGTGAAATCTAAAGTAAAACAATTGGCAGGTGGCTTGTTTGACTTGCTTGCAAAAGTATTCTAAGCAATGTATTCTCTCCCATGCTAGCTGACGATGGTGGGGCTTGTAGTCCAACAACATCTGGAGATCCCAACATGGGGAGAACTGTGTTACATGATGTTAGAGGGAGGAATCTTTCCTCCTACATATTTCAGACATTGAAATAAAGTGTGTTTTAATCTGAGGATGTTATATAAACCAAATATTAATGTATGATCAGGCCAGCACATTTAACAATGTTTGCTTTATGAATGCAACAGATGCATTAGATTGGTTGGTTTCTCCTCTTGCCCACAAACCAGGATCAGTCTTTCCCAATTTGGTGGTCTGCAGATGTTGCAGAATTAATTGTCCATCATCCTCAACCACTGACCATGCTGGTTGGAGCTGATGGGAACTGAAGTCCAACCTACATCTGAAGGGTACCAGGTTGTGGAGAAAGACATCTATTTCATAAACTCAAATAGAAAGACAACTTGGAAAGGAATGCTAAATTCAGGCATGGAGTCTTCATTTGAGGCCTTCCCTGAGGTTTTCATAATTAGGAACCATAAAGGAAAAATACAGACAGTTGGAATACTTGGAATACTAGCTAGAAATATTAGCTAGGCCAAAAAAACAAATCCATCATAAAAGAAAGCAAGGCACAAAACGCAAATAGTTTTGAATATTGCCACTTTGTAAATGAACCACCAAGCAGCAAATTAAATTTCATCTTGACATATGCAGCCATTAAGCTCCACATTCAGAAAAAAGAAAACCACCACAAAACACTAACATAAGTATGAAGTACTGTGCCTGAATCACAGAAAAACAGTGAAAGTGACCTTGGGCTAATAATGGATTGAAAATATGATGAAAATGTTGGGAGAGAATGATAGTGAAATTTGCATCAAATCAAAACAAGAATGCTCAATTTATAAAAATGGTATTATATGATGGTATCCAAATTCAGATGGGTGCTATATACAATGTATGCACACATTCCTATCTCATGTGTGCTAGGTAAGGTTAGGAAAGACTTGAGTGATGTGAATAAAAAACAACATGTATTTTGGAGACAGGTATAAAAGACAAAAGGTAGCTTAAATAATTTTTTTTTAAAGCCTTGTAGAATTTCAGATCAACATAACATTTTAGCCTTAAAAAGAATGCACTCTCAGGTTTAATCTCTGAAAAGAAGCATGAGAGTCAACAGCCATTCTTGTTCCCCCAAAAATGTAGTACACATGGATTGTCTAGAAAATGATGCTGGGAGAAGCTGTACTTTTCTAGTCTACATTAGGAGGGGAAGAAGAAACAGGAGACAGACAGTGGCAGAGATGGTGATGATGATGATAATAAAAATTTCTTATAATTTCTCACCCACCTGACTGGGTTGCCCCCGTCACCCAGGGAGGCTTCCAGCAAAAATACAAATAAGACAAACAAAAATACAAATAAAACTTCGCACACGCTTACTCCAGACTAACCGTAAGTTGTAACCAAAGTTTTCTTTGGGTTTATGGCTTAGGGCTTATCCAGGAAAACTAGATGACAAGGCTGGGTTTGAATGATAAACTAACCAAAAACAACAGCTTAGCTTAGTGCAGCACAGCAGCCAGAAAGGAGCAAAGTGGCTGTGATCTCTCCCAGATCCTGCACATTTGCACTCAGCCATAGTTTTGCTAAGCATGAAATGTGAACTAGGCTACTGAGTTTAAACATAACTGTGATTCTGGCTGTTTTGAGAAGTAAACACTTGGCCTTTCATGCCTACACTTCAGCCTGAAATGAACATAACGCTATGTGCATGAACCTTGCGCTTGTCATTGCTCACTCACCTCTCCTCATTCAGCACTGACACAGGGAGATTGGGAATTTTTGTTTCCATTTCCCAATGAAGAATCACACCCAACTGTAATTAATCATAACTATAGTTTATTGACGCCTTCATAGGCCAGCAAAAACGTTCCTTTTAAACCAGGCCTTTGGTTGATCTGATTGACATCCTATGCCCTTTTAAAATGTGGCTCTTTTTTTGGGGGGGGGTGTTATTGGCTTGTTGTTTTTATTTTGATTATATATATATTGTGGTTTTTATTATGTTGATCTTGTTCTGTGAACCACCCTGAGACCCTCTGGGTATATAAATTCAATAAATTATTGTTATTGAAAGTAGGCATGACTAAACCACAGTTGCACAGGCTTGGGCATAACAATGAACTACGGTTAATTAAAAATAGAACCCAATGCTTCCACTCTTCCAGTGGCTACTCCTGAAGAGCAGGCCAAAGTGGGCAAGGCTCATTCTGATAAAGCACAGCTTAGCTTTAAGTCTGAACAAAGCATCTGTGGTCTTTATTCTGCACCTGGCCACTAGAAGATTTAGCAAAATAATATAAGAGGGAAGATAGTATAAGACATAATTTTATTTTTATTTTATTAAATTTGCACCCCAGCCTTCCTCCTAAAGGAGCCCAGGGCAGCAATGTGGTGTCAACACTGCTCCCCACCCCACTGCTCAAAAAAGCCCTCACATGTCAGCATTCTGGATGCCCATGTGTTATTTGTAAGATGCAAACATATCGACAAGCTAGACCAGAAGGACATTTCTTCAAGCCAATGCTACAATCCCCTGGAATGCATGGGCACCGCAGTAGGTTTTTATCGAAGGATCCGGCCAATGGATAGAAGCAATATCTCAGTACATGATGAAGTATTTTCAAGCAGAAGGCCCTAGGTTCAATCCCTGGCATCTCATCTTAAAAGAATCAGGTAGCCCACCCCCAACCTCTCTCACCACCTAGGGAATATAACAAGTGAATAGAAAGAGAACCCACACAAGTGACGCTGACACAAAATCTCAGACATACAGTGGTACCTCAGGTTACAAACACTTCGGGTTACAGACTCCGCTAACCCGGAAGTAGTACCTCGGGTTAAGAACTTTACCTCGGGATGAGAACAAAAATCGTGCGGTGGCAGCGGGAGGCCCCGTTAGCTAAAGTGGTGCCTCAGGTTAAGAATGGTTTCAGGTTAAGAACGGACCTCCAGAACGAATTAAGTTTGTAACCACTGTACACTAAGTAGAAGAATATAAGCATTCCCACCCCACCCCACTCAACCTCTTTCCCCTCTTTCCTTGTCTCACAACAAATGAAACTGATCTGTAGAGGACACGTATTTTTGTAGACTAAGAAATCTTTAATAAAAAATATTTTTTTTAAAAAAATAATAATCAGCTAACAAGTGATGCGAACAATCTCTGCCCACCATTAGTCAGAGCAGGGAATACTGTAACAGATGGACAAACACGCAGCTGCTTATGTGGTTGTCACTTACAAATGGTAGCCTTCAAGAAAAATATCTGCAGGATTCTCCTTTTGTTTTTCATTTCTTGCACAACCAGCAGCTTTAACAAGTGGGTAACTGAAGATTTCTGAGCACTAAAGTACTATTGGGATTTCTTTCTCAGTAATTAATTTCTTTTCCTCCCTCCACTTCTATGTAAAGGTCCAAACTATAAATTGACAACGAGCCAGCTGCTACAAGTGATGGAATGTGAGACAACAATACTAATTGGGAGTGGGGGAGAAAACTCCATTAGCTTAACATTTTGATTAGTAGATGCTTTTATTTCACAAAACTATAATGAATATTAATTTCACATAGGAATTAATTGAAGTATACCACTGTGTATATGTGCATTTGTGAATTACGATTTTCTATGCAGACATCAATGAATAAACTGATATATTAAAAACAGCCATGCTGATGCGCAGTTGTAAGGGAATCTGTGTATTAGTGTTGGCAGTACATGGTGCTGGCAATTTACCAGTCATGGATTTAGAAGGTGTACTAAAAATACATTTAAAACTCTTGCATAAAATTACAGTCCTTTGTTAGTGCCTGTTAGGACTGTGGAAAAAGATGATCATCTGGCATCTTGGACAACTAATGCTCTGCAGTTCCTTTCATGCCATGAGCTAAGGGGATCTTTTTAAGGAACACATCTGGGTCCCTGAAATTCTGCTGATTCTATAATGCTTGCATTTGTAGACAACCCTCTTACCCAGGAATATGCCCAGGACTCAAGGCATCCATTATCCTGAAACCTGAAAGCGAGCATTTGGCCCTGTTGACCAGAAAAGTCAGGAAGATTATTAAGGAAGACTATGCTTTGTATGTTTTTGTTATGTTTTTGTCTCAATGTAGACCTCTATTGTAAGTAAGCTACCAGCATCACAATAAAATTGTAAGTGCTCTATGGATTGATACTAGCCTAAACAGTAGGATTTAGGAATGAATTTACCTAGAGTTGAAGTCAAGGCAGAGGCACCTACAGTGTGTTGATGGAACATACCAAAGATCTTTGAATCTAGAATGGCCCTCTAGTGCAATTTTCCAATATCAGGTTATGTTTCCCAGAGGCTGCAAATTTAAAGCAGGATGAGGATGGTTCAACTGGCAACACCTTTACAAGTGATTTAGTTCTCCTGAAAGAAGAGGCACTTATTTCTGTGCTTTAGAAAATGATGAGTGTTTATTTAACGCAGCCACAGTGCTGAAAATACAGAAATCGTTACAATTCAAGA